CCCCGCAGCAGCCCCTTGCTTGCTGTGCAGGGAACAGGAAGAAGAGGAGGGAGTAGAGATGTCAGGTTGCCCCTCCCCCACCCTATACCCCATCTCCACAGAGCAGGGGTAGGGCAAGGATGGAGTAAAATTGCTAGCTGCTTTTGGGAGTGGTGCAGGGTCCAGGGAGAGGTGAGCCTGCCTTAGTCCCCTGGACCACCACCCAGAAGCCACCTGTGGTAATTGATGCCCAGCTGGAGTCTGCATTCCAAACCTTGGACCCAGACCTGAATCCTCCTGCACCCCCAAACTTCTGCCCTAGCCCTGAGTCCCCCTGCACCAAAACTCCCTCCCAGTTCCAGCACCCTGAACCACCTCCTGCATCTCAACTCCCTGCCCTAGGCTCAGCTGAGAACCCCTCCCACACCCCAAATCCTTTAGCCCAAGATCATAGTCTGCATTCCCCTTCCCTGCACCCTAGTTCTCTGCCCCCAGCCTGAAAAAAGTGATTGAGGATGAGGGAGGAAGGGAGGATGGAGTGAGCAGGGGTGGGGCCTCAGAGCGGGGGCAAGGGTGTTTGGATTTGAGGCAGATCCTGGATTGCATTTACATTCAAAAAGTGATCTCATGCTTGAAAATGTTGGAGACCACTGGTGTAATGTGTCTTGTGTTTTCTCTCTCCCTCCTTCCTGTCATGCAATTTTCCTATGTGGTCCATGGGCTGTCCATTAATGGGTACGTTTAAACATCAAACTTGTTTTAAACAATTAAAATTTGATTGTAGTTTTGTTGCAGAAAAGCAGTTGTCTTAGTTCTGTTTTGAAGCATGGCATATTTATCTACAACATGATCATTAGGTTTGAGGGACTAAGATGATGATCTTGCAAACAGTTGCAAATCCAGTTAAAGGTAACACAGTGCATAACACATTATTTGTGCGAATATTTTAATAGTTTCTGCTGGTCATTAGTAACTTGGTTTGATCCTGAAAGGTGAAGAGGGTTTTTATAGTTTGTGCAAAAGTTATTAATAGTAATTTGGCCAATGAATTATAATGTTGTCATGGTTTTGTAACAGAATGCTTTTAGATTTAATAACACTAAACTAACAAAAACACTGTCAAGTCAGGGTTTTTGTTTGGAATTTTGACTGAAAGTCAGGAATGGTTCAGTTTTGTATGCAACTTAGTTGCTTTTTCAGGTCAAACTGTCTTCGTGTAGGAGCTCTCTAAAATTCTTGCCTGTAATCTTTTAAATGAGAGAGGGTGTTTGTACATATTCTAGTAGTTTTTATTACTTACACATAATTCAGAATTCCAAGAAAAAAAGTGATTAACCTACATTTTTGCCTAAACCTTGAAAACCTCTTAGGCATGTTGAAATTATGGCCATGCTACTGATGTCCTTTGAGAATATTGCTTTCTGAATAATGTAAATTTGTTTTGTTTTTTTTGTTCCTGCCTGTACGTGGTGGTTTTAATGTTGTTGTTTCTATGGTCTGTTTTCAGCTCTTATTCTAGAGGAAGTATTACAACCAACAGTACCAACTCAATGTCAGAGAGCCATTATAATCAATCAACAGAGTGGGAAAATTTTAGCAAATGACCTTGATTCATCACTTGCTAACTTAGTAGGAAGTAAGTGTGGAATTTTTTTAACTTATTTTTTCTTTACTAGGGGGCTGTGCCCCTTGCTTGCTATGCGCGCACGCACACGCCCTTTCGCAGCCAGAGAGCCTGTTAATCTTGCATTGAGCCCAGCTGTGCTCTCCACAGTCCCAAGTCACTCGCATTCTTCTCCACTCCTGCCCATGTCCAGCATTCTGGATGGCTCCTCTATCCGAATGCTCTTGTCCCATCCCACCTGCTCGTGCTCTTCAATTGCTAGCCAGTCCCCCTGCCTGCACCCTTCCCATTCCTGTCCCACACGCCAATAAAATAATCTATGGCCAGCAGTCCACCCCCTTCCTTCCATCCCTAGCCCCACCTCCATCCCTACACCCCCTGTTTCCCTGTCTCCATTCCTACCCCACCATCCTCCCTAACCTCCCCCCATCCTCCTTCTTTCATTCTTACCCCCACCTCCATTCCTACACTCATCCATCCTCCCTAACACCTTCCCCACCCCACCCCACCTATACCTACTCCAACCTCCTTCTTCCATATTCCTGCTCCCACCTCCTTCCGTAACCCCTCCCCACCCTCCCTGCCCATCCCCCTGGTTCCATGCCTGTATTCCCCTCACTCACACGATCCATCCCCACATACACCCTTATCCCCTTTCCTCCCTCCCTATGCACACCCTGCTCCCTCTCACCAACAGGCAGTCTAACCAGTAAAGAAGTGGCACCAGGCCTGTATGCAAGAATTTGTCAGGGGGCTGCTCTGGGTGCTGTGACAGCAGATCTGGGCAGCTGCCTGGAGAGAAGGGGCAGCAAAGGTGGGATTGCTGGGGTGTTGTGAAGTGAAACAGGGCAGAGAAAATGGAAAGGAGGCAGAAAGAAGTTGGAGGGAGGGTCAGAGAGCGGGGGTTCCTTTGGGATGCCAGGTTGAGAAGGGAGGGATGAGAGTCTGTGAGGGGGCAGGAGAGGAGTGGAGGATGGAAAGAGGGCCAGAGAGCCATGCAGAGGCAGGCACCCTGCCCCCACTTGGCCGTGTTGGCAGCCGCTACGAACGTTGCTGGGCCTCCCCTCTGTGATGCAGTCTGGCAACCCTTGATGCAACAGTGGTTTCCACAATGGCAGCATGGCACTGATGCAGCCACTCGGGCTGCGGTGGACAGCTGAGGACCCAGAGCCTGACTCAGTTCCCAGTGCGAGTGAGTCGCACCCTGAGCCTCTCACCAGCTGACGCAGCCCCTGGTCTGAGAGGCCCTGCCTGGGAGGAGCGTGATGTTGCGGCTCCCATCCCCAGGCATTGAGCCCCCATGCACACATGGTCGCGCACCACAGCCAGCCACCAGAAGGGGACATGGCGTAGTGGTTGCTTTCCCTGAGTAGCAGGCCATCGGGGTTGGCCCAGCGTGCTGCCAGCATCTCCCCTTAGCCACCAGGCCCCGCGCCTCTTCCCCTGTGGGCCTGTTCCCATGCAGCGCCTTTGGCTGCCAGGAAGTCCCCGAATGTCCCCAGATCCAGCCATCCTCGAGCCTCTACTCAGAGTATGCCTTATGAGCAATGGCAGCAGCGCTGCCGAAGCCCCATTTCCTGCAGCGGGCTGATCTGGAATGGTGCCCAGCCACTGGATGGAATTGCTTCCTGCCCCAGACACGCTTCAGTGACTGGAAAAGCCACCTGGCAATCTGGCCTGGGCAGATTCCGCCTCCGACTGGTCCTGCGTATTCAGCTCTGGCCACAACCTTTCGGGAGGTGGAAACTGCACAGGCCGGGCTTCTAGGAGGCTTTGCCATTCCCCATACAGTGTCTGGAGCTGCGAGACCGGAGCCTGCGGGATGCAGAGTGATGTGATGACATTACTCTGTCGTCCCACAGGAGAAACTTTTTATAGAGAGAGAGCTTAAAGAAACAACATATTCTGCTAATTATGTTTGGGGGGATTATCTTTTTTGTTACAGATCTTGGCTTTGGAGGAACCCCATCCAAAAAGTAAGATTTTTTCTTTTGACTAAGCTCTTACAATTATACAATGTGAAAAGTAATATTTGTTTCTTGAGAATTCCTTGTTATAAAACAGTGATAGAGAGAGAGATAGTCCATCACACAACATGGTAACTGAGATCTTTGTTCTGAAAGCCATCTACACTGGTCAGGAAATCATGCTGTGAACAACAGTGTTCAAACATAGCTGTGACTAAAACAAGGTCAACCATAGTATGAATAAATAAACCCCTGTAAGAGAACTGTCATATACATTATCAACAAGGACTAGACATACTGTTTGAATTAAAAAAAACCCAAAAACCTCAGGATGAAGTAGCCTACTGGTTCAGTGGCAGCCTTAACCATCTAAATTAGTCTTCAAGATTTGAGCATCTTGTTAAGGTCATACAAGGTATAATTGAAGTACATTACTGAATAAGTAACTCTGACATACCATTTTGTGTAATATGCTTTGAGAAACTGTTGAGCTTGCTTTGGATAGTGTTTAAAAAGTTGTTTTCATCTTGCTCCAAAAGCAATAGAAATTGTAAGAGCATAGATACAGATATTGCAATTGTTACTGTTATGAAGTTAGCAGTGGAAATGCATTTTTCTTGTATAAGAATCTCTGTAAACTTCTTGTGCCTGCATGAGTGTTCCTCTGTAGTGTTCAGTTTTACTGGTTCTCTGATTTTTATCTGCTCATAAATAGAAATTCTTTCAGATGCAGATCAAAAATTTATATTTTATTGTGGAGCCTCTTAGCTCTATAATTTCTTTTTAGGTCAGACATGCAGTGGAATCAGCCTACTGAGAAGAAGCTTACTGGAGGAACAAACTGGCAGGCAAAAACAAGCACATCAACTACCTGGAATCCTGCTCCCGTTCCTCCTGCTTCACATATGGTAAGTGTTACACCATTCCTGACTTGAGGTTATGCACCCACAATCAATGACCTGAAGGGGCATTGACTTTCCCCTTTGTCTCAAATTCGTGGTGTTTTAGGCTATAGATTCAAGACCACCCACTTGCATTGGTTTGTTTTGTTGGTAAATGGAAGATCTATTAAAAACTAGAAACTTTCCTTTTTAATAAAAGCTTAATGGCAGCAGAAAATGATCAAGTTCCTCATTCACTAGGAAAAATCTTCTGCTTTCCAGTGAATGGATTTGTCAAAACTCAGGGGGAGGAGAAACCAATAATAGAAAACTAGGGGGCAGTGCCCCCTGCACTCTACGCTCAGAAATCCCTGTCTCTGGGGGTAGGCAGGCTGGGAATGGGAATTCCAGGGCTGCAGCCAGCACTGGCTTCCCTCCCCTCCCCAGCAAGCTGCTGGGGCCACCCCAGCCTCTCGGCGCCCCTCCTCCCCCTGTCACAGCCCTAGTCTCTCAGCCCCCCTCTGGCTGCTGGAGGAGGGCTGGAGCTGGGGCTGGAGGCAGTGGCGACCCAGCAGGGATCTGCTGCCTTTGCCTGGCCCCCACCC